AGGGATAGAGAGAGAAATGCAGTAGGTATGTAGGGAGAGAGTGTGTGTAGGTAGGTAGGTAGAGGGATAGAGAGAGAGAAATAGAGAGAAATACAGTAAATAGGTGGGTGTTTCTGCTGGCACAGCATTTGATCAATGTAATTCTCATCAATCAGTTAAAGAGCTTTCCGAAGGGGGGGGGGGAGTTTTTGCACTTTGCAAACCTCCCCAAAACGGCCCAGTTTTTCACGAAAACGAGCCCGTTTTTTTGTCAAACAATTGCAGGCATAGCCTTATGGAGGCTTGGGGGGTTGCTGGGGGCTGGGGGTGGGAAATGGCCTGTTTTTTGCTCATTTCTGCACTCTGCAGCCCCCAGGAGCTCTCCGAAAGCCTCCATACGGGTATGCACAGCCACTTTGGTGAAGGGGCGGGGCTTTGGGAGGAAAAAAAATGCTGTGTTCGGTGTATAAGACGCACATAGATTTTCAGCTTCTTTTTTGAGGGAAAAGGGTGCGTCTTATACTCTGAAAAATACGGTAGTTCCATTCATCTAAGTGATACCTGAGGAGTTTCAGGGGCGGCTGACGGGGGCCTTTCTGGCTGCTGCCCCTGACCAGCGGCCCTGTTGCTGGCTTGGAAGTCCTTTGGGGCCACCTGGAACCCGGAGCCATCGGGAGAGGGTCGTAGGGGGTGAGGGAGCCCTCCTCCACCCGCCCGTGCCAGGGACTGGGAGAAAGGAGCCACGCGACCTCCCCTCTCTTCCTCCTCCAGGACGTGGACGAGGCCCACTACGCCTACTCCTTCAAGTACCTGAAGAACAAGCCGGTCAAGGAGCTGCGGGACGAGCAGTTCCTGAAGATCTCTCTGGCCAAAGAGGAGGGCCTGCTGACCATCGACATCTCCGTGGACATGAAGGGCGTGGACGGGTGAGTCCGACGGCCACGTGGCTCTCCTGCTGTCCCGCTGGGCCGCCGTTCCTGACTCCGGCCCTCCCTTGCAGCTATGGCAACGACCAGAGCTACTTCGAGGAAATCAAGGCCTTCTACTACCGGGACGAGTTCAGCCACCAGGTGCAGGAGTGGAACCGGCAGCGCACGCTGGCCATCGAGCGGGCCCTGCGCCAGTTCCTCTACCCACAGATGGCCAAGGAGCTCACCAACAAGCTCCTGCTGGAAGCCAAGGAGTGCGTCGTCAAGGTGGGTGGGGCAGGAGAGCCTGGCGGCATAGATCGCTCGGCACAGGCTGTCCTTGGCGGCTTCTGCTGCTAAGTGAGGCCTTTGTTGATTGAGTTTTGTCCCAAGTTACGACTTGCCTTGCCTCAGTTGTTAAGTGAATCACCGCAGTCGTTCAGTTAGGAACCTGGTCGTTAAGGGGATCTGGCTTCCCCACTGACTTCGGTGGCCAGAAGGCTGCAACTGGGGTGTATTTGCGATGGTTCCAGTGTCCCGAGCTCAAAAGAAAACAACAGTGGCAGCGGCGGCGGGTCGCCCGGCTTGGGATCTCTGCAGCCGGCGTGGGTGTGCCCAGCAGCAGCTTCCCGCTACCCTCCTTGAACACTGTTGGCTCCCCCCCCCCCCCGGTAGACATGTCATCTCCTCGTTCCATCTCCCCGTGATGTCATCCCATTTGGTTGATGCCACACACTCCTCTATGCTATATGCCAGTGTTTCTCAACCTTGGCAATTTGAAGATGTCCGGACTTCAACTCCTTTGTACCGAAGGTTGTCGAGAGTGTGGTAGCACGTCAGCTTCCCCAGTCCCTGGATGAAGCTGCCTACCTGGATCTGTTTCAGTCGGGTTTCAGGCCCGGATACAGCACGGAGACTGCATTGGTCGCGTTGGTCGATGATCTCTGGCGGGCCCGGAACAGGAGCTGCTCCTCTGTCCTGGTCCTATTAGACCTCTCGGCGGCTTTCGATACCATCGACCATGGTATCCTACTGCGATGACTTGAGAGTGGGGGGCACCGTTTTACAGTGGTTCTCCTCCTACCTGTCGGATTGGTCGCAGTTCGTGTTGACTGGAGGACAGGGATCGACCCCGAGGTGCGTCACTTGTGGGGTGCCCCCAGGGGTCGGTTCTCTTGCCCCTCCTGTTCAACATATATATATGAAACCGCTGGGCGAGATCATCCGTGGTTTTGGGGTACGGTATCAATATGCTGATGATACCCAACTTTTCATCTCTGCCGCAAACCACCCAAACAATGCCCTCGACGTGATGTCCCGATGCCTGGAGGCTGTGCGGATCTGGATGGGGAGGAACAGGCTCAATCTTAATCTCTCCAAGACTGAGTGGCTGTGGTTTCCATCGTCCTGATTTGTGCATCGTGTTCCATCTTTGATGATAGGGAGAGAAATTTTAGCCCCCTCAGAGAGGGCCCGCAATCTGGGAGTCCTTAGTTTAGA